CAGACCCTTGGGGCTCTAGCAAAGTCATGAACGAAGCACCCTGGTGAGTTCTTGATGGTTGAGTAGGGAGCACACACCCTAATTCCTTGCCTGGAGCAAAAACTGCTGGGACCTATGCTAATTTTAGGGTCATTTTCTGCCCACAGATCTGAACTGTGACACACTTTCCCAAACCTCCCCCACCCCCAGGATAGGATTTTAACCCTGAGATCAGACTCAAGGGCTTCCCTCTTGGTTTCACCCCCATGGCTCCCAGAGGTTCTGTCCTCCCGCTTTTGCTTCCCCCTCTGTTTCTTACCAATCTTTCACTCCGTCTTCCCATCCATTAACTGTGTCTTGTCACTGATCCACACCATCTGTGATTCCATTCTTCAAACCCTACGATCCAAAGGACAGGGCATGGAGAGAAATTCCGGCAACACTGGGACCTGACATTTTTTATTCGGTGATCCTGCCAAAGGCCCACATTTGTTTGCATTGATAGACCTAGAATTAGAGGACTTTCTTGGCTTTGGAACGAGCTCGTTGTGCTGAATATGGTAGTTTTTGTGAAAGCATCCTGAAAAGTCTAAAATAACTTCCCAGGCAAAACCGTTGAGTGGGTAGCTGCAGCTCTATCTAGAGCCATGCGGTTTATACTTGGTCAGCTTTTAATCTCAGCACTCAGTTCTTAGGGATTGTAAGTGCAGGAACTCCATCCTGCTTCCTTTGGGTCAGGGTTAATTAAATGTGGCACTTTAGACAACTCTGTGCTGTGGGCTGTCCCGGGCATTGTCAGATGTTCAGCAGCCAGTAGCACAGTCCTTCCTTTCCATTGTAACAACCAAAAATTAATCTTCTAAAACTTTCTGTTTTTGTTCGAAGGAAAATTAGTCAACTGAGAGAAACTAGTTTTGCTCCCTTCTTTGATGATAAGAATATTGGCTTGTGTTCTTTGGCCATTATAATAAATCACTTTCTACCCCAAAAGTAAGAAGTATCACTTATACAATAATTTGTCCCTTCTCTCTCTCCTCATACACACACACACACACCCCTTAAATTAAAAGACATGTTTTTCTAATAGTGGTGACCAATTTCTGAAGAGGTAGTAGAAGATAAATAATAAGACATAATATTGCACACTTTATCTTGCTCATGGGTCACTTTTGTGCCATTTTTGCATAATTTTTTTAAACAATTTCCTCCATAGACTTTTAATTTTGTGCCCCTGATCTATGTTGGTCATTGTTATTATCGGAATCTGATTACATCCTGAAAAATGAAAGTGGCCATACGCTTTCTCATGCCTACCATATTTTTGGCTTACTTCTTAGTTATTTGATTACTGGCTCTACTGGTTTAAGTTGGAAAAGAAAGTCCAGTTGCTGCTGCGTAGATTCACATTCCAGTGGGTGCCTTGGGCAGAGCCATCCCTTCTTTTGAAATTTTGTTCCCAGCTGGAGAAATGTCACAGTTGTCTTAAGTGTTTGACTCTGACTTTTAGTGAGAAATGCAAAGACTAGGAAAATATGAACATTTTCTGGAAGAAGCATTAAGCCATTGTCTGCCCATCTGGTGACTCGCTGCTAAAGATCCAAAGCACTGGAACCTATTGATTAAGGGTCAACCTCTTGGGAAATTGGTGCCGCACCTTTCATTTTCTCCCTAGATTTTCTGAAGCTCGGAGCTGTATTTAACTTGCTGAATCTTGTATTATGGCCAGACAGAGATCTCAGGAGTCCCATTCCCCAGGTTCTTATTAGCCTTGACAAGAGTGTTGTTAAAATGGCACGCTCCTCAGAGTCGCAAAGAGACGCAGGGTCTTGCAATTTCGATGCCAAGTCTAAAACAATCTGTATATATGTTGCCTTCTGAAATACATTGTGGGGTAATATATCAGGTTCTCCTTTCTTTGAGAAGACAATTTCTGTTGTTTGCAGTTACTAATCATGTTGCTCTCTTTTTCCTTTCCTTTGCTCAATTTATTTTGACTTCCAGGTTGCTTATGTCTTTAAAGCCTCCCTCCCCCCAAAAAAGACATTTTCCAGATTTAAGGTTTTATTATAAACCACTTCGTATTCTAAATGGTACGTCTCCGGAGAGAAATGTATGAAAAACTGATGGAAGTTAGAAAATTTTAGTTAGTAATTATCACCTACCATTAGAAACAAGTGCAAATCACATGATGTCGGAGTGAATCTATCACACACCTTAATCAAAGATTACTCAAAGTAATTACCAGGCAAACAGGGATTGAATAGAACTTAAAACCAATTAAACTATTTATTTCGACTGTACCACTGAATAAACACTTTCGTATTTTAATTTGTTCCTCTTTTCATTTGCTTCAGCAATATGTTTGCTAATATGACCGAGATGCACAATTGCTATTTAATTAACCTATTTTTGTCAGCACCTCACACGAGCTGTGTGAAGTAGATGTGCTGACGTCTTAATAATGATGAGCCACATAAAAATAGCGAACATGAAATTCGTGCTAGTCATTTTACAAGGTAGGTCAAATTGCCACAAAATTCAAAGGCAGAAACAGGTTACCATATAGCAATCAGAAGACACTTGTAAAAACATGTTGGTCCAACGCAAAGTGGCTCAAAAGTTTAGTAAAATGCATTTTTGCAAAGTAAGATTGGACTATTTCTTTATTCCCTACTTTCGTGTTGTTGCTATTAACTACTGATAATAATTCTGTCTGGGGTCCTGTTTCTAGTTTTGAACAGGTGAGTTGATAATGGGCACAGAAGGGTTTGGTAGCCTTTCTTTTTTACCAGATCACACAGCCTTTGGGAGAGCTGCATTTGTAGCTATTGAGTAAGACGTCAGGAGAATATTGCTCCCTTTCCCCTTTTTATGCCCTACGACCAGGATCAGAACCCTAAAACAATTTGTGTTGTCTTGACCTCCGTGACATCCATTTTTCCACAAAAGATAACCTAACTGACCATGTGAACAGAAGCCCTCCCTCTCTCTACTTTTGGAAAGTAAGCCGGAGTGATCCAAGTTAAATATGAAATGACTCCTTCCCCACAAAGGGCCAAACATTCTTATTTGACTTTTGGTTTTTCATTCAGATGTTTTGCTCTCAGGTAGATACAGTTTCCTGTCCAATTAGATAAAACCGTTTATGCCCTACCTGTCTTCTTTTTTCTACCCATTTAAATTTTACTCACGCCTACTGAGCACGATGCTTCCGGTTCTCTAAAATAGCTGCTTGGTGGCCAACTGATCCCGAGTGCCCGTAGGTAGCAGAGACCCTCCACCCTCAAATTTGGGCCAGAACTTTCTTCATCCCTATTACTCAAGTTGCTGCTATGAGTTTATACCCTTCTATTATTACTCTACAAGCTACTTTCTAGCTCTAAGAATAATAAGAGAGTATGGTATTGCAGGGGTCTGGACCAAGGCCATTGTTGTATAGACGAGAAAATAAGACTAAGAAAGATGAAGGATTGTATTGTAGATCACCTGATCTTGTTGTTTGTTCTCAGATTAATGTGCGTGTACAGACAACTAGGTTACAATGTTTACATTTGTTAGGTAAAGTCCCCTTGTACTTGTGTCCCAGACCACCTGTTTTTTGCAGCAAGACACAGATTAACATTCATATTTCTGTCTTCCTCAGTGTTCTCCCTTCTTTATTACATGTGATCTTCATCTACCAGCTGTTTACATGTGATAGAACTTTAGAGAATCACGTGGGAGCCTTAATCATAGCCTTTTTTATTGATACAAATGTTTGTACATGTTTATTGAGTCTATCTAATATTTGTTACATATATAGACTGTCTACTGATCCAGTTGGGATATTTGGGACATCCATCACCTTGAGAATTTATCATTTCTTTGAGTTGGGAACATCTCAAAAGTCTTCTACTATTTTGAAGTACACAATATGTTGTTAACTGCAGTCACACTACTCTGCTATCAAATATAAGAACTTATACCTTCTGCCTAACTGTATTTAATCACAGCCTTTTAATGAGTAACACAGGAGCTAAGTCTTCCTTTTTCTGAAATGCAGTGTTTTATATCTGTAACCCAGGCTTGCTTTAACTAAGGTCAAATTTACATAAACAAATGTCTTCAGGGGGCCAGCAGGTAGCATATCTGGGCAAAAGTGAGTGTGGCAACGTTTTGATAAAAAGCCGAACACATGTTCTATTTAAAACTGTTAAATTCTATTCAAATTCCAAAATCTTTCTCCTGCCAAACCAAGCATGTCCACAGGCTACTGCTTTGTAACTCCTTTCTGCAACACGTTGCAGATGGAATAAAGAAGACTGCTCTTTCATTTATGCAAGCAGAATCTACTTCTCCGGCTCCTTTTAGAATACTAGCTGTCCATGGTACCGAGCCAACGCCCCTGCTTTTAACGCCCCGGACCTCTAGTACTCGGTGAAGAAGCACATTCTGGGGGCTATAAAAATGTCCCCCAATTTTCCCACTGACTAAATCGGAAAAGAATATAGGTACATATGCACATCATGGAATCCACAGAGGAAATGGTGCTGCCCCCATCACCTTCCCGGGAGCCGCTGAGAACCCTAACAGACAAACCAAATCACAGGGCAAACCCACCACATGTACCGAACAACCAGTGTAATTATATGCTGTAGTTGAGGAATTACATAAATTGCCCACTGGGAAAGAAGCCTTAATCTCCACCCCTCCCCTGAAACCTATAAACAGCTGTGCGAGCCTCCCTGTATTTTTGAAAGGTTGAACACATTTGATCGGAGAACCAACTTCATTTCCTAATCAGGTTCGATGTGAGGAGAGCCAGTTAGAGATGTGCGCGATTCTCCCAGTGTGCGTCTTTGATTCATGTGCTAATTATGTCGATCCTTTGGGGAACGCAGCCAGGAAGCTGGGTCCTCCTTGATTAATGCTGGCGGAGAGCCATGCAGTGCGCAGCGGAGAGCAGTTCAGCATCTCTAGTCCCAGCTGAGAATATGGTCCCATTATCTCCCAGCTGCCTAAGCAATCCATAAGGGCCTGTTCTGCGTGGATGATCAGTGTAGTGGAAGCAGGGACTTGCTGAGAGCTGAAATCTCTGTTTGATTTGCTGTAACATGTAAAGCGAAACTGGGACATTTTACTTTACAGTCTGTAAGTATCAGGTTTGCCCCCTCTTTCTCCCTACAGTTTCGTGTGAATGTGACTTTGCAAGCCGCATTTGATTTTCTGTTCCGTTGCTCTTTGTTGAATCAAGCTGGTGAGATAGTGTAGAAGCTGTTTGGAGCTTGCTGTTTCTGTCAGATCTCTTACATAATTGATTCATACAAGGAAACGGGTCTTTCTGAATGCTTTTATAGAAGTTAAAAATTACTGTCTTCATTTTAAACTTGGGAGCATGGTCGCATTATCTGTGGTACCCAGGGTGATTAGAGGATATATTTATCTTCTTCTGTACCTATGGCCGTTGCAAGAAAAATGTAAGTAACGCTAATATATAAGCAAAGAGATCATCTTATGTGCAGGTCTGCGTAAAAGAAGGCATGTGTCAGTATATCCGGAATTTAAGATAGTTTATTTTTCTGCTCTCTGCTGCCACTAAGAAATGCAGAAACAGAAAAGTTTCTCTTGTTTTTCATTTGTTTGCTGTTTAGAAACTTTGCCGGCAGAATGGAGGGGAGCATGACTACTGGGAATATTTGCAAATATAAACTGTATATATATACATATATATATATCTTTATATATTTTTATTTTTTTATTTTAAGGGACAGTGTTTAAAAATCTACGTTCAGTCCATTACTGCTTTGAATGCATCACTTCTTAAGAAGTGCTGTGAATTTAAAAAGTAGAAAGTATCACTTCAAATCTGGCTCATTCATCTTTTATATGTCCCTCAATGCCATCTATCAAATTAATATTTGTTATTCATGCAAGATGAATTGATCGTAAAAATGCTATTAGAATTTAATATTGTTAATAACGTTTTCGTGGTGTCTTTCAAATGATCAATGCCTTACTGAAATTAAAGATTGTTATCACTGTGGAGAGGGATTTGTGGATTTTTCTGTCTGGGTTTCCCTAACCTAAAAATAAATCACACTTTTCTTCCTGGATTGAAATGAGAACAATTGAGCTGTTGTGAAAATAGAATTTGAATAAAAGTGGCTCAGAGTACTTGAACCAATGGTCAGAGTTGATGTGGCCCTAAGTGAACTTACAATCATTCTTACCCGAGAGTTTCCACACTGAGCTTGAGACCTTGTAGCCTGAGGATCCAATAATTTCCAGGGTGGAAATACAATTTCCCTGAATAGGCAGTAAGTCTCAAGGCAGAGAAAAGCCACAGACTGTGAAGTATGGGAGCATCTCAGTGGTGAGGACAGAGGCTGTTCTCATTAGATTTGGTTGAGAGAAACTATGCAAGAGAGAAGAGACTCAAAATAGATGGGCATTTCCAGAGCTTGGGTTTGGGGGAAAAGATCACCAAACAATAAAGAACGGGCAACGTCTGATGAGATGAAGTGAAGGGAGAGCGGCCGTGGTACCTCAGGGTCACAGGCAGTCCCAGGGCTGTCCTTGCAGAGAAGTCTGCCTCTGGAAACAAAGTAAGTGTGTGAGAGGGTCTAGTCCTGAAATCTAAAACAGCAGCAAGTGGTTTTGATGGTTATATTTACCCTAAAGAATGGCCTTATGCCTTCTTACAAAACTAAGCTGACTTCTGTACATGACGGTCTCTGAGGTTCCTTAGCCGTGTTTTAAAATAATTCTTGTTTTTCTGACTAATGTCAAGTGTATGATCTTGCACAAGATGTGATCTTGTTTTCAGAGGATGATAAGAATAGAAATAGGGTTAGTTAAGGTCCGATTATCTTGTAAACAGAGTTTAATTTGTCTCCACCAAATTTAGTCAATATGTGTTCTTTTCAATTCTAATTTATTTTTGCCAGGTTCCTGAGTCCCTTTATGTATGTTTTGTAGTCACTTTTGGCTTCCCTAGAGGAGGATTTTCCTGATGTAGTTAAATGCACTTTCTTGCGTCCATTCAAACATTTAGAAATTTCAACTCCTATCTCACAGTGTTAAACATTTTCTAGCGAGTCACCACGAAGCTCAGAGTGTGTTTGCACAATTTATAGGGTGCTGCTGTTACTTTAGCAATGTGTTGATTATTTTATAAAACTGGGAAACCACATCCCGAGTTGTGTTTAATATGTAGAAAAGGGGATTGGATCCTGCACCAGTCAGTTTAAGGTACGGTCTCCTGACAGAAGGGAAAGCCAGATTGGTGCACGTTTAAATCCATGATGATTTGATTTAAAGTTTTATGGAAGAGAATAAAGGGAAAGTCATGTGCTGTATATGTAAAGACAGTGTGTATCTCTGGATGTGTTTACATGCATGCGGATCTATCCAGTGAGCCTGCAAACAATTCTTGTGCCACCCTAAGGACTGTACTCCTAGAAGGTGCCTCAGTTGAGCACAGTGGAAAGAATCCCGGGAATAGGAACATGTCAGCAGAGGGTAAAGCCGCCTGACATTCGGAGCCCTTGGAAAACTTGTTTGATCTGTCCCCAGAGTTGCCGGGTTTAGCACAAAGTAGGGCCAGTCAAGGTAAGACAAGTAATGAGGATTAGTAAACTATCTCTGTGGTACGTTAAGAGGGGAATATGGCTGAATGAACCATAATGAATTGAATAACCCTCGTAATTTTGGATGACCTTAAATGTTAGCAAGCTTGGCTCTGCTTTGTCAAAGTGTACGTCCTGAGGCTGTCTCCAGCAACAGAAGGAGCTTGACTAACCCACGTTAAGTTGCTGTGCAACCTTTAATCAGCTGGCCACCTCTCTGTGCTTTGATGTCCTCCTGTTCAACAAAGTATGATTTCTAAGATACTTTATAGATTAGGAAAGTCTGTGATCTCATGGCACCTCATTCTAACCTCTTACTCACTCCTGGAAATCCTTTGAATGTCTAAGGGGTAGCCATCGTCCTAAGCAATGTAACACTAGGATGTTTTCTTTCTCTCTTCCTCCGTTTCTCTCTATTCTTCCTTTCCCCCCCTCTTTTATTCCTCCCTCCCTCCTCATCTCCCTCTTGCTCCCCTCTCCCTTTCCTTGTCCTGTCTCTTGTCCTCCTTTCCCTCTAAATTCTTCTCTCCTGGTTTTCATCAGTGAGTTCTTCTCAAGTCAAGTTCGACTTTAGAAACAAGGTTGAGATTGTCTGCTCTTTCACAAAACCTGTTTATTTCTACTTTCTCTTCTGAGAATTAATGCATTGAGGTCTGCAGGGCATACTGATGTACACTCGGTTTGGGATTTCACTTACCTGGCCCTACGCATGTGTGTGTAGAAAGGACCCTGAAAGTTACAGGTATGTGTGTAGGTGTGTATAGATGACCCAGGTAATTTTTGAAGTAAGGGAATTCAGTATCTTATATCCTACATTGACAGTAGTTAAGCAGGATTCATCCTAAAATGTTAAACTAACAATATTTAATTTAAAAATAAAACAAGGAAATCCACAAATGACAGTTCATTTCAATGTAGCAAGATATTAAGAAATTATTGTTTTGTTAAATAGTATGGAAAAATAAAAGTCCTAAATTATTTCATTAAAAATACATAATCTGACAACATAGTCAAGTCAGCTACTTTTTGAAACTTAAGTGAAATAAAAATATTTCATGGAAAGTTTTCTTTACGAAGTATGTCTTGTACTCTCAGAACTGTTTATTTCTAGGTAAGTCACTTAGTTAAATAAAACAGGTAATGAAGTTACCAAACCCACCATGATGATTCTAGTGCTTCTTGATATGCTCAAACCAAATTGTGAATGAACTTCATCTGAGCATCTTTCTTGCAAGTTCTGAAAGAAGCTAAATGAATTTCAGAGTTTATATTTGTAGCATTAGGATTATAGTGATTTTGGTTTCTTTTATTGTTATTAAATGAAATAAAAATACATATTGGCTAGATAGCTGGAATGGCATAAAAACTTACAGGCTCATAGTATACTTTACTATTAACAATATATACATTGATACTTTTTTAAAAACTCACATATACTCTAAGATGGATAAGTGGCCATTTGATGACAATAATCACTTAAGTTTGCTCATCTTATTTCAGATCTGGTAGTGGCATAACAGCTTTTAAATGTCAGGTAGAATATTCTTTTTTTTTCCTCAATTTTTAGCAGTAGGAAATATCTGTATATGTGTCTCACTATTCTGGAGTGTGAATATTTATGTTATTTGTTATTGAACTTACAGACTGAACTTTATACTCTGATGTGCTCCATGCAGAGTATGAAGTTAACTCTCCAAATCTCATTAAACTGGGCAGATATCTTGGCTTTTTAGGGAGCAAGTCTGTTGTAAGTAAAATCATCAATACTTTTTCTGTTTATAGTGATGTATCCTTCTATAACCAAAAGGATTCAGTACTTACGGCCTATTTCAATGCAAAGTTTAATGGTGACAGATAACATTTGGTGGCTCTCTAATCCTTGATTATAAAGTTACCAGGCAGCTTCAGGGGTAATCTTTTGGTAGCTTTTGGTTTTAATCTAGTACCTCTGATAACCGGAGATGTTCAATTCCGTATGACTTACTTAATAGTTGTAGTGGTTAATCAGACTCTCACATTGCGTCATTAAAAAGATAAAGTTGGAAATTAGACATAAGTACGGCTCTCTCCATTTTGGACATGTTTTCACATGTCTTTGCCTCTATTCCAACGCATTTTAGCATGAAATTTTATCTGTATTTCAAGGGAGGAATGGGACGATTTAATATTGAGAGGAGCTTATCAGAAGGAGCAGCAAAGGAATAAAGTGTTTCTCATGGTTAGATGTAAACTACGCATTTGGAAGATAGGACAGAATTTAGAGTAGCTGATTGGGCCAGGCATTTGGCAAAGGAGACAAATTTAAGCTTTCCAGAAGGAAACCCTTCATTGGTGGACAGAAATTCAAGGGCCCCGTAAGCAAGCAGAAAAAAAAAAATGTAAATAAGAATGTAAAAAAAAATGAGCATATTGTGGTTGGAAGAGATGTGGGTTCCTGTTACAAAGGAAAATTGTGGTGAGTGAACGAAATAGGTCAAGTGTAAGAGCGCTGGGACTAATTCCAAAAGAGTTGGCATAGGTATT